AAGTATTGGAAGGCCACAACGAAGTCTGCCCTCAGCCTTTTCCTCTCCGGGTTGAACAAGCCAAGCTCCCTCAGCCTTTCTTTGTAGGAGTGGTGCTCCATCCCTCTGATTGCCTGCATGGCCCTCCTCTGGACCCATTTCAAAAGCTCTACATCTTCTCTTTGTGGAGGGTCTCAGGCCTGAAGACAATACTCCAGATGGGACCTCACAAGGACAAAATGGGGGGAACAATCACCTTCCTTGCACTGCTGGCCATCTCTCTTTTGATGCAGCCCAGGATACTGTTGGCCTTCCAGGCCTTAAGTACAAATTGCTGGCTCAGGTTTTCTTTCCCATCTACCAGGACCCCTAAGTCCTTCTCAGTAGGGTTGCTCTCAAGGAGTTCTCCCAGTCTGTATGTGCGTCTGGGACTGCACTATGTCCAATTTCCCCCCTTGGCCTCTGCTTATCTCATAAAAACTGTCACTTTCAAAAAATAAAGGAAGCAACCCAGATCTCTGCTGGGTTGAAGGATGATGTTTTGTTGCAGGGTGGAAAGTTGCAAGTTCTGAGAAAACAATGACCGTTGAAAGGGGTCCGTTCATGGTGCAGGAAATCTGATTTCTGGAGCTGTGTGTGCATGTGTGTTCTCACTTCACAACTGCTCCCAGATAATGAGGCTACCAACTCAGGTAGGAATGGTAGGGCTGTCATCCTTAGTCTAAAGTTCAGATCTTCTTTCTGCCTTGTTACAGTTCCTTTGAGGTGTTTGTAGCAATGGTCATGGCGTTCTCAGTTTGGCTGCAACTCTGACTAAATGGAATAGAATGATGAAGGAAAATACAGAAGCTGGTATTCCCTGGGCAAATTTGCGTGCCAAATCCACCTTTAGCAGAAGAAAGACGTGGTTTTTCAGAACTCAGGAGAGCTGTACCCGCAAACACTACAGGCATATTTGATGAGCTTGCATTCCCCTTCTGTTGAATCAAAAACCTGGGCTAAGAAGGAATGTTCCATGTAGGGAGAAGAAGATGATAGAACGTGTTCCTTTCAAGGCTCGCGTGGGAAATGTCAGGTCTTTCTGAAGGCACCATTCAGCCACGGGCCTTTTTTGCCAAGAAAGTAACAAGACAGGCAGCGCTGCAGAACTGAGTATTCTCCATGGATTTACTCATCGCCTGAACTAGACTGTGGCAATTGTCTTCATGATCATCAGCACATAGTTAAAAGGGAGCAGCTGACCAAGGTAAGGGCATACCAGTGAGTCTATCCATTTTGAAAGATTTTCATGTAGTCCTTGCTCATCTCTAAGTACTGAAGATTTATCACAGTCACAGACTCCATCTGTCTTTCATCATCACCATGGAATATTATTCCAAAAGCTGTTAAGCAAATGACCTTATCTGAGCCATGCTCTTTTTTCTTTTTTAACTTGAAATGCTTGTTATGTATTCATTTCATGTATCTCTTATTTTTGCCTTGCCTCAAGCTGGAAGTCACTTTAAGAAAGCCATCCAAAAAATTCTCTATTTAGTATGTGTGTACATCTCAGTGTGAATTGTAGTGTATGCTATCTGTGGTTCATCCTGTACTCCGTGATGTGGCAGTATGGCTGTAGTCTTTCCAAAGCAGCATGCCTTTTCAGAAAGTACTTCACCTACAGCTGAAGTTGTTCCTGTTTTATTCAACTGTAAGGGGGATAAGAAATGCCACGTGGAAGAAGCAGCTGTGCTGGCTGCTTCTCCTCTGTTGTCTGGGGGAACATCTGATAAGGTGCCCATCTTGTACCTATCTGTGGCTCCAGTGGAATGTGTGGCAAGGCAGAAGCGAAAGACTTGAACTTTGCAGCTGGGAAAAAGCCTACAAAATAAGACAGTTACGCACAGATTGAGATAAAAGTGACAGATGTGAATGATGAAGAAGTCCATGTAATATCTGACCTTCTTCCTCAGAGCCGAGATTCACTGTCAGACAGGCTGCTTCAGACATTGATCTCATCACACAACTGAAGCAATCACAGCGTTTGCTTACTGCTTAAAGGGAGACCTCCAGGGTAAATGCACAGACAGGTGTACAAGAAGAGTTAGCAGTTGTCACTCTTCCCAAATGCACTGTGATATGGGATGTGTTCAAGGTAGCAGACTTGCTGGAGGGGCAGATTTACTTGCAGCTTTATAGGAGACCTGAGATATCAGTACAGAACTTCATGATAAAACACCGTTAGTAAAATCTATTGAAGAGGTGAATCCTCCTAGTTTCTGATTTCCATGAAGTTTGTGACTCCCTAATAATGAAATTAAAATTTGTATTATTGAAAATCATATGTTTGGTTATTTTGATCCAGCTGGACTTTCGTTTTAATATTTACCTTCCTGCCTATCGGGGAACTTGAGTAATTTTAACCTGCTATGATATTGTGCAGCTCCTCCCTTTGACAGAGTGCTGTAGGCTGTTATCAGCTTGTCTGAGGGAGCTGGGATTGTTGGACCTGCTGAAGAGGAGGCTCAGGGGAGACCTTACAGCTCTCTCTAACTACCTGAAGGGAAGTTGCAGTGAGCTGGACTCAGCCTCTTCTCCCATGTAACCAGTGACACACGAGAGGAAATGGCCTCAAGCTGCACCAGGGGAGATTCACGTTGGACGTTAGGAAATACTGCTTCATTCCCTTCAAGTTTTCTCTGTTTATTTTCTTCAACCTTAAACACATTAATTTTTAGTCATTTTATTTAAACCTTGGTTTCGAGAAAATGTTACCAGTAAAACCTGGTCAGGAAAAAAGCATGATAAAATTATTCACTCTGCTAAAAGTTTTCAAATTATGAAGGTGAACGAAATCCCATCTATTTGAACTTTCATTAGAAATACCCAAGCATTTCCTTCCTACCCCGATATACCTTAACCTAGAGGTGGCAATTAAGTCTTTGTTATCCTACAAAAGGAGGTTGAGTATGAACTGAGAAATCTGTCAATTTCTAACGGCATTTCTGTACGCCTTGTGGTCAAAGTGGTGAAGATAGATGAAAGGCAAGATACCCAAGAGGAATTAACTCACCCCTCCTGGTAACAGTTTAAAGAAAAGGATGAGCTGAGGAATGTGACCCTATCTCGTTCATACCATTGGGCTGCAGCAGAGAATGGCAGGGGGAATGGGGATAGTAAGAGTTACTTGCATAATGAAATCCCGCACAGGCAAAGTCCGATTTGTTTGTCATGCACCAGAAGCCCTTCCAGCTTCCTCAGTTCCTCTCCAATGTCCGGGCAAGGGAAAGCACGGCCACGCCACAAACCCAGACGTACAGTCCGCTGCCTTTGGAGCACCTCTCAGCAAGCATTCCCGCTGCTTCCTTTGGCCTTTCAGGCTTATCGCTCAAGCCCTCACCGTTTCTTTTTGCTTTCCTTCTTGGCTTTCTTGCTTAGCTGTGCAGCACTTGCCTTTGGTTTCTTCACCGTCTCCCAAGTCTTAGACTCCAAGCCGTCCCAGTCCTACAGGAATCAATTCACAAACAGTCAGGGAACTTTCTGACAATTGCCCCACAGCTCGCTTTGGGAGCTCAAGTCACCTCACTGCGCAGCTTTGGGTGCCAGTGCTGCAAATTGCCTTCCTGACATCAGGGCACAACAGAAACTCCACCTCTGTCTTCTTCCCAAAAATCCCACGTAACCTACAGTCTACAGGCCTTTCCTGCAAGGCAGTCCCAGCACAGGGGGACGCCCTGCCTGGCGCTCACAGCAGCAGCAGCACGATAAGATGAGCTTGCACCTCCAGGCTCCTTGCGTGCCACCAGGAAGAGCACGCACGCCCAAGGAAGCACAGAACAAACTGCCGCACTCTCAGCAATGCCGGGGCGCGCTACCGTAGGCAACGGCTCCAGCTTGTTCTCTCCCAGCCCATTTCCTCAGCATTTCTATCAACCTCTATCAAACAGAGCGCTACTTACTGTCTCTGGGCACTTGGAAACTGGCAGGATTATGGCCCACACGCACACAAGCTGGAAAACAGCTCCAAAGAAGAGGCCGTAGCGCAGCACGTTCTCCATCAGCGTGGGCTCAGGGGTCTCAGGGGGCGAGAAATGCAGCTCAGCCGCCATAGCGCAGACAGCCTGCTGCTCTGCTGCTCTCCAGGAGGCTGCTTTCTACAAGGGGGAAACGAGAGCCATCATTCCATTCGTGCACCCCGACGGTGTGACTTCCTACTAGCAAAAACTCCCAGCCTGACTCAGAGACGTGCTCTCAAGATATCCTTGGTCTTCCGACCCAACCACAAGGAGGGACGCCAAACTTGCATTTCAGCAAGAGCTGAACAGGCAAGAATCAACTTCTCCCTGAGCTTGATCGCACATGCACGAACTCTGTCTCATGAACACTAACAACAATATTATTCATACCAGCAGTTGCACATTTGCATCTACCTGGGTACGTACGTGTTCACGGCCTTGCTGCTGCTGCTGCTGTGCCGGACGGCACCAAGCACAGCAATAAAGCACGCAGAAAGCCCATCTGCTGAGGACAGGGGGATGATCTGGGCTCACGCCTAAGCACCGCTTACTGCAAAGGAAGGCACACCTACCTGGTAACGGCCACGCAGGATGCTTGAGACACAGTCACACACTGTTCTCCTGAGGCCCAACGCAATGTCGCAGCCACTCACACTCTGCTCCTCGACAGTCTGCAACACAAAAGTCACAAGCTGGAAATACAATTAATCCAAGATGCCATCGGGCCTCCGTGCTCACGGCACTCGCACTCATGTCTTCGCATGATCAATCAGGTGTGTGCTTATCGAGTGAGCACTGCTCACTGCCACTTGACACCAGCAATCTACCCCTAACTGTCAAGTATGAACAGGAACCTATGCCTAACACTAAAAGACTACAAGTAACCTGTGCCTAACTCTAAAATACGAACAATAATCTACTCCTAACACTAACACTAAACACTAAAATCAACAACAAAAACAACAACTAAAATACAACTCCTGCAGCATTTAAATGGGAAGAGGAGAACTTGGCTCCCCAGGAGGCTCGGAGGAGGAGCTGATGGAAACTAATGCCACCCAGCTAATGCTGGGGGCGGGGGCCGTGCAGCGGGTAGGGAGCCGAGTGCCTGGACCAGCGGCGGTGGAGCTGTGATGGCGCCGATGCGGGGCCTGGCACGGTGGTGTGGTGCCAGGCCAGCTGTGCCGCAGGCGGATCCACCTCCATGGGCTCATCCAGAGGTGGATCCACCTCCATGGGCTCCACGGAGGTGGTCACAGCGCTGGTCCAGGCGCGATGCAAACGCACTCTCTACCCCCTCCTCCGCTTGATCTTAAAGGCGGCCCCCCTCCTCCTCTTTGCTTCTGGGAAGCCAAGCTCCCTCTTCCCATTTAAAAGAGGGCAAATTTCGCCCCTTGCTCTCTTCGCTCCTGGCATGGCTGCCAGAGGTCACAGAGCAAGTGCGTTGGCCGGGGCAGCGGTGACCAAGGTGACGGCTGTGATGCGGCGAAGGTTCTAAAATGGCAGCCGCACTGCTGGCAATGGCGTTCCACATAGCATGAGGAGGGGGCTGGAGGACAGGGCACGGGACGGCAGCTAGAAGGCGCTCCCTGTGCCCAGCGGGCAGCCCTTCTCTCCGGCAAGCAAGAGGCCACAGAGGAGCCGGCCCCGAGAAAAGGGCCCGCGGCCTCCTTCATCCTCTCCCTTCTTCCACACGGGAATCTCTTGGGGCTGGGACACGCAGCACACAGCGCCATGTTCAGGGGCCTCCCGAGCCCAGCGCCAACAACAGCAGGCTCCAAAGCGCACCTCACCACGCCTGCCTCCTGGCACACACAAGCTCCGCTTTCCACCTTAGCACCCAGCGCCTCTTCTTGCGCCTCACGGCTGGGGATTCAACCATTCCCTACAATAAATACGGCCAGCTGCATTTTCATTACAATCACTCTCACTCCATTCCACATCCGCGCACAAAGCTGGCACACACGCGTGGGGCCACCCTGGCTCACCGATGCTTCGCGGGGACCCGCACAACAGCATGAGCCAAGCAGGCAGAAACGTGCCGTGCTCCTGACTGATGGCAGTCTGAAAATCTCCCTCTCCCTCCCCCCACTCTACTAAGGCACCAGTTCTCCCAAGCAACAAACGCAATCACACACAACGGCAGCCCTGGCTCGTCCCGAGAAGGGGCGTCCACAGGAAGCACATCTTCACAAACCTTCTTCCAGCTCCGCACCCTCCGGCCAACACAGCACCCACGTGCCTTGCTCCACTGCCCGCCCGGGCTTTGCTGGCGACAACTAGGCCCTACGGGGCCTCCTCCTTCACACACCCCAAACACCAACGAAGCTCCGCACTCGCACGGCCTTCCCTGAGAGGAAGCTGCCCCCCGACCCCGCACCACTCGCCGGC